GGGGGGGGGAGGCAATTAGCAGGAAAAAAAGAAAAGAAAAGAAAAGAAGAGAAAAAAAAAAAGGGCAAACGGAGGCGGGGAGGCAGACGAGGCCGGGCCAGGGGTGACGTACAAAAGGGGGAGAGCGCGAACGCAGAGAAGGAAGAAAGGGGGGGCAAGCAGCTAGAGCAAACATTGCTTGCGCAGACTCACTTGATCAAGTACCCTGTGCATGTGTTTGGATGTTTGAGGTCCCATGGCCGTATCCCACTTGCGACGTGTAGCGATGCAGGGTGTGCGCGCGTCAAGCGAAGGGGAGGGGGTCAGGGCAGGCCAGGCCAGGCCAGCACGAGTAAAGCATGAATCTCAGCAATCAAATCAGCAATTTGACTGACCCAGGCAAGTCAAGCGTCGGTTGCTGGGTGTTGCATGGAAGCTGCTGGCAAACCACGCACGCACGCACGCACGCGCCCCCCTCCCACATGCCCTGAATCCAGCACCCGTTCATACGCACCGTACCTCCTCGAGTCGGAACGCTAGCAGGACCTCCATCCCTCTCCAACAATAACATTTTCAACCTCTCATCTTCCTCTTTCCAACTCCGTCTCCTCGCACCATCCTGCTGCTCCTGCTCCTGCATCTGCTCCTGCTGCTCTGCAGTCGCACTCCAAGTCGGATCTGCTGCTGCTGCTGCTGCTGCTGCTGCTGGTGGTGGTGGTGGTGGTGAGGATTTTGAGGATGAAGAGCAAGAGATGGATGAGAAGGGGTGGAAGTGTGCGGCGGCGGATGAGAAGTTGGACGGTGCGAAGAAGCGAGGAGCGCGATGCCTGCTCATGCTCATGCTCGAACCACAACGCTGCAGCACCATTTTTCCTTGCTAGCTCCTCGGGGGAGGGGGTGTGGCATTTGTATAGATGTTGCAGCGCGCTGCTTGGGGTGAGCAAGAGGAGACAAGGCTGCAAAGAAAATGGTGCTTGGAGGAGTAGCAGTGAACATGGATAGTTCAGAGTGTCGTCTTTTGGGAACATGGATGGCTTGCATGTCTGCATGTGCTCAAAAGTGGCAAACCCCCCCTCGGCCCCTCTCGACTACGCTGCTTGCTGCTGCCTGGCTGATGTGGAGGCTGGATTAACAATGGCAAGATGGGGTAACACGTGACTCGACGCGTCGCGCTCTCGCTCTCGCACACCCGTCACGAAGTCAAGAGCGAGTCAAGAGCGAAATCTTGAATCTGGATCAGAAGGTCGAATGGAATCACAATGTTGAATCACAATGTTGAGGTAGTGAATGTTGAATGATGACACGAATCATGAACGAGCGCAAGTCGAGTCAAAGAGAATCACGAATGAAGGGCGCAAGTTGCGAAGCGGTGGGTCAGCTAGGAGTCAAGTCAGATTTGGTGGGTTGGGAGTCAGAGTGGGTACAGTATATGAGCACATCGTGCATCGCGTGCGAGCCTTGAGTCAGAAAGTCCGCTTGGGAATTGGCATTCGTGATTTGATTGGAATCGTGAATAAGAATCACGTGAATGGATTTAAATTGGATTCACGATTGCAACCTGATGTGTCTCGTGTGCATGGTCAACGCTGGCAAGGCTACGCACACACTCACGCTCCACACACACTCACACTCGAATTGACCGCTTCTTGCTTCCTTCTCACCATCATCAGCTTGCACGCGCGCCCGCCCCGCCCCGCCGGCACGCATCAGATTGTGATTGCGTCGAGCAACGCTGATCACTTTCCATTTCCTCCTCTCCGAACCCCTCCCTCTGACCTTGACGCGCACCTTTCGCTCATCCTCTTCACTTCATGACACGCATCGCTCCACATTCCCACCCAAATCGAAGCTTAGGTGAAACAGGCGCGATCTGAGCGTTGATTGGCCTAGCTTGCTCCATGGTGCAGGCCTCCCACTCCGCCCCATCGCTCAAGGAGCGCTACAGGGCCCTCTTTCCACATTCATACGATCAAGTGAGTGGCCTCTTCTCCTCTCTCTCTCTCTCTTCAAGGTGCGCTTGGGGACACCCCTGAGCACTCCAACTATCGGCTGATGCTCATTCACCTATCTTTGCTCATGACCTCCCTGTTGCCCTTCCCCCCCCCC